TTATTATATATATATTATATATGAAATCGTAAAAAAAATAAAAGTTTTTCCAGTTTTAATGTGATGTGCATCCAATATGACAGAATAAGGAAATGGCTGCATTTGAAATCTCTACTGGTTGAACTGGAGTGCTTGGACTGGCCACCAACTGAAGAATGAAATCATTATTCAGGGTTTCCCCCAGAACGTCTGTCGTGTCTTTGGGATGAAAAAGGTTTAAAGTTGACTGGACATTTGAAAATGTGACTTGCTAACTATGGGTTATTAGAAGACATGATTTTATTTTTTTAATCCTTTATCCATGACTTGTCACTTTGTTCACTGAAGTTGGCATGCAGACCAGTAGAGACTTGAAGTGGTTACAGAGATCCGGTGAATAAAAGTGTGTTCATATTCTGACCGTGCTGTGTTGCCATTGTGCTTCTCACCAAGGAGACTCTTCAACTCGTCTTTGCTCTCAGTGTTACTGGTGTTTTAAAAAACAAACAACGGTTAGCCTGCAGGGGGCAGTATATGAACGCATGTACTATATTATAAGACTGGCAGCCTGCCAGGCTTGTAGTACACTAGGGAATGCATTGATTATTACAGTGGACCCCCACCTAGTGATGGATCAGTACTGACAGATTAACCTAGTCATGGATTTTTCTGTGGAACGTAACTCCAAATTATTTGCAGAGAAGCCGCATCATCAATTTATTTTTGTTTAGTTTTTGTTTTTATTATTTGTAGAGCGCATCTAAAAGATCTGAAAGAAAATGCAGCTTAGGAATAGCAGGTTACACTGCTACTTTAAACACTATTGGCTGCCATTTGCACAGCAACCAATCCAGGAGCAGCATTTGTTTTCCTGGCCACTGATTGGCTGGACCCTCTTCAGAGTAGAAAGAAGGAAGACGGTAAATGTTGACTTCTGCTGCAGTGGATGGTTTCCACTGAGCACATTGATGCATACTCTGCATTAATGTCTGAAGTATTGAAATAGGCTTTTATAGGAGTTTAGGAACTGCTGCTTTTCTTTCTTCAAAATAAGAGACTAAACAAAGATGGTTTGAATATTGTAAGGTCTCCTTTGAACCTTACTGAAGATGTTTAACACGTCTGGCTTTGCGACACAAACAGGTTGCTGGGATCTTGATGTACATAAGTATATAAATAAAGATGGCGTGAACTGGGCCAATAGAAAAGCAGCATTCCAGCAACATAAACGTATCACAGCAATTCATGGGAACACTTTTGGAAAAGTATTGGAAATTTGTGAGACTGAAGTTGCTAAGATGATAAAAAATGGCTCTCAGACTATAGGTATTAGCTTTAGCCTCAACAAGCAGCCTGTCAATCAAAATAGCATAAAACCAGTAAGGAGTTTTCTTCTTCAAGTTAGACGTTTACTGCCCGTACCTTCTATACAGAACCCTACTTTAGAAATTCTCCATTGTCCCTTTAAAGACCGTCCGCTTTGCTCTCATTGTCATCTCTGTTTTGTTGGTGAATTTTAAAATTAAGTAAATAAAAAAGTTTGCTCCTTCGAATTGTTGAATTGAATAGTTACAGTAATACATGTGTGTAGTTTATTGTAGTTGTAGTGTACTTTTTTTAACCCCGTTTTTATTTCCTTCACCTAGTCGCTCGTTTTCAAGCGTTTCGTCCGTCTGCTCTGCCTTTGTCGTCAGGTTTCCTAGGAGACGGCGACGTGGTCACCCAGGCCATCCATGATGCGCAGCAGCTCCTGAGGAGCCACAGCAGCGGAGGGAGAGACAGGGACCAATACAGAGACAGGGAGAGAGAGAGAGACGGTTCTGGAAAAATGGTGAGTTGTTGTGTCTATATGCTTGTTGAACAGACTGGCTCTTTGGTTGATGCATTTTGTTTTTACCTGGTTATGCTGACTCTGAATATTCGCCAAAGTTAGTACAGCGTATAAAAGTACCTTGGCGATATTGTACCAACCTGACTGGAAGCTCTAACAATTAAAACACATAAGTTTTTAATTATGTGCTATTAGGGTGCCATTACTTTGATCTCCTCAGTCTTCCTCTCAGACATTAACAGCAGAGAGTTCATCCTGACCTGACCTGATGCTGACCTCCTGTCGGTCTCATCTTGGTTATGGAATAATCTGTGACCATAAAAGCTACATCAGTGCTACATCATATAGTCGGAGAGTAGCGTCACCTTCATGGTTAAATGGATCAGTAGCAGCACGAAGTCAGATGGGAGCAAGAGGTCACAAGGGGATGAACCTCTTTCTGTAATCTCCTTGTTATTTTATTGCTTCAATATTTGTTTACTCAATCAGTAGAAAACATTTATTAGAGTGCAGCTAGAACTACATCACTGTAAGATGTGTAACTGAAAGGAATTTAGTTTGTCAAAACAAAACAGCTATATGGCATTTTCTAGTCATTGTGGCCAAAATTACAGAGATGACCTACAGTATATTATAATCCATGAAAGTATAACATGGGCAAAAACAAACATTTAGAGTAATGAGCTGTGGTGTTGCGTAACCTTTAAACAGCGTTTTGCTGGCTGTAACGCCTGATTGTTGTTTGGATCAATACTGTAGCTGTAGCATAGCTTCTTTCAGTGTACCATTGGTCCGATTCAGTCCAATTCCCGTTTGTAGAAAGTCCAGTTCGTTTTGGGAGGTGTGAATGCACAACCCGAACTCTGATAAGGAGCAAAAAAGTAAGCTCTGATCCGCCTGAAAGACCTCGGTCCTGGTTTGGTTGAAGTGAACTCAGATGGGTTACGAACGCCAAGCGAATTAGAGTCTGCTCCAACAGCAGGAAATGCACTATAGCGCAGGGTATTCTGGGTAAATTAAAAAAAAAAAAAAAAAAACTTGTGTCTAATGCTAGCAGGAGAGATGGTTTGCGGTCTTTTGCCTTAAGACAATAGAGAAATCATACAACTGCTAAAATCTGATCCATTTAAAATCTCTTCTAGCTGTGACTTTTTTTCAAAAATGATGTTGATCGATGTTATGTCCACAAAGTCAGGTTAACCTAAAAGCTGGCACAAAATTGAGCTCCAGTGAAAAGACAAGAGGAGAGCTAGTTAGAAATGTATCTGTTTTTTAATAGAATGCAGTCGTTTGAACATGAAGAAAATCCAAAATGAGGCTAAAGAAACACACAACATGCTGTTGACTGTGTGCTAACCTGCTAGCTTATTAAATATACCAAGCTAACTGCATGAAAGGCAGTCATTAGCATAAATGTGGCAGTTTTTCTATTTGTAGATGTGCCTTTATTGTCTTCATACCTTACTTACCATTTTTCTGTTTGGTAAATCCTAAAAGGTATTATCTGGCTGGCTTGGGTTGAGCCACAGTCATTCCAAAACATTTGCTAATATGCTTCAATAACACTTTATCTTTATTTTGTGCATGTAGAGAAATTCTATGCCATGACCGTCACATCTTTTCTGTTGTATCTTTGCTCAGTTGACCAGCCCACTGGTGCCGTCACAGTTGGCGCAGAAAAATCAGCTGGATGTGCCACTGCTAGAGATTTCATGCAAGTGCTGCAGAAATGTCACAGCAGTGACTGTATGATAACATTACTAAATCTCATTAGACCCTTGCAGAAGCTCTGTCTGCACTGATGAAGATTCAATTTGCCTTGCATTGCTGAATACTTGAAGTGGATCCAACAGCACACCAGAGGGCCTATGTTCTGAATAATTGAACCGATGATGATCTGACCATTTGGAGGCACTTGTAGTGCTATGGAGTATTAAAATTTGCATTTCACCCCTCATATCTCCAGTACACTCACTCTGCATAGAGAGGATCACCGTATCTGACAGGAATACCTCACAGCTGCAGGACTTTGGGTTAAACAAAACAAAAAAAACACTACATGTCTTCATGTTCAGACACGTTTAAAAGCCGTTTTTAAATCAGCCAATATAGGTAGCAAATAGGAACAATGTGGCGGCGCTGTTGACATACGGAAACAAATGGGGTATTAAATGAGACCGCGGACTCCAAATAGCCTCTAACTGATTAAACTCCATAAGGGAATGGGAAAGCAGTCCCAAGTCAGTCTCCATCTGACATGTAGGATGTAATTTAGAGGTCAGTGTGGTTTTGGATTACAGGGAGTCATGCTTCTCCACAGCACTAAACTGATGGACAAATATCCCAGCTGTGGTGCAGCCACACACACTGAGGCACATTGTTACAGTTCATCACACTGCGTTAGGGTAATTGTCCGTGCTTGTTTTTCACACTCGTCTGCATTTTAAGTTCAACAAAATAAAATTGAATTGTGTTTTTTCTGTTGTCGTTGAGGAACGGTCTAGTACTTTAGGATTCGGGCTTCGTGACGACGGCCTCCCATCCCAGCCTTCATTCTTTGAGGTGACTGAAGCTTCAGCTCTCAGCCTTGTCCTGAGCAACAGCTGTTGCCGCCTCACAATACCACAAAGGCCTCAGTGTGGCATTGACAGCCACCTGCCCTCCCTCTTTGTCCTTACTAATACTGTACTTAGCTCTCCTCCTCCTCTTCCTCCTCTCCTTTATTATCCTGCTCCATCTCTCCTGTGCTGCTGCGGTAGCACCAAAACTGTTGACTGACCTATTTTGGTATTCCACTCCTCTCCACTGTGTTGACAATGTGCAGCAGCAGAATAGGTGACAGATAAAGGAGCAGTTTTGCAAAACAAAACAAAAAAAAGTTTTTACATTTTAATCTGGGCCTCTAACAATTAACACCAACTGTACTGTGCGGACTTTCAGTTTTCCATCTTTGCACATAGAGCGCTACACTCTGATTGGCTGGCGCCGTGTCTCTTACCTTAAATAGAACTTTGTGCCACTCTTCCAACACTGGATGATTGTTTTACCACCGTCCAAATTCAAATGCTGATCTATCAGTGAGGTTATAGCATGGATGACTTCATCTGCCTCTTTTTGTTTTTTGTTTTTGTCTGCAGGAATATAAAGGTTCTCCTCATGCAGAAAAAATAAGTCACTGTGAGCGCGGTGAAGAGAGGCACGGCGAGGAGCATCTCAGCAGTGACTCTGAGGGTAGGTGTTCCCACCATGCTGCTGCTGTTCTCTACTCAGAATGAAGGCTTTTCACCAAAACACAACGTTAACGCTGGAATATTTCAACTAACACTGTGTTTTAATTCAAACGTGTCAAAGTAGGACAGCAGAGTTTCAAGATGTCTTCCCCTCTTAGTAAATGTTTCAGTGTCACTTTGACAGCAGATGACTTATTATTAATAATAATAATAATGATACATTTAATTTGTACAGCGCTTTTCTAAACACTGACTTTAAAGAAAAATTACAGGCAGAACTTTAAGTACATCAAACTAAATCCTAATAATTACAATAGTCATACATTCAAATCTGTTCCATAAGTGTATTCCCAAATGTGATTTGAATGTGGACAGCAGCTATGGAATCTATTTAGAAATGTATTTTTTACAATCTACTGTTGGTCTATTGTAGGGGGAATGTGTTACTCTAAAAATCAGCACCTACTGGAAGAAGATTGCTCAAGATTATTATTGACTTGATCAGGAGTCATTTTGTCTTCTAATGAGTGGAAGTAGAGTGCTACACACTGACTTTGCATAAACTTGATCAACATTTTTTTTCCCCCATCCATAATAAACTTGTAAGATTGGGTGACGTGGCATCCAAACTTTCCATTTTAATCTCAGCCTCTCCTCTAACAGTTAACACCAGCCGTCCTCTGTGGACTTTTAGTTTTCCATCTTTGCACATGTAGCACTGCAATTTGAACAGCCTCTGATACGGCTGGTCCAAATGTAAAAAGATATAAAACTTGATTACAATCCTGTGAATTGACCCACAGCTGAAATCAGAACAGTGATTTGAAAAGTAAATGCACTGAGGCCATGATAAGTAACTAATGGGTGGGGGGAGACATTTCAAGCCTTACCTGTCTGTGTCTTGCTGTAGGGGGGGCCCTGCCTGTCTCTGTTCCTGGCAGCTACTCCGAGACCCGGCCCACTTCCTCTACCGGCCACATAAAGAGACCCATGAATGCCTTCATGGTGTGGGCCAAGGACGAGCGCAGGAGGATCCTCCAGGCTTTCCCAGACATGCACAATTCCTCAATCAGCAAGATCCTAGGTGGGTTCTTCCAGTGGCTGGTGGGTTTCTGCATCTGACTCTATTCTGTTGGCGTAATCAATATGCAGAAAGTCAGGTTAATAAAATCCGTTGTAACTGTAGCTTTTTGCAAAGATGATGTCAACATCCAGCAAGTCGGGTAATATAAAATAAAATCTGGTGCTAAGATCGTAATAAAGCCTCACCAAGGCACCAGAGATTTCTAGCTAGCTCACCTCTTGTCTATTAGTTGATGGTCTCATCTGTTCTTCTTTAGTAGAAAGTTGATGTTTAAATATGAAAAAAAAAAATCCAAAATGAGGCTAAAAAAAAACTATTTTTGACTCTTCTGTTAACACAGTAGCCTGCTTGCTAACCTGCTAGCTTTTTTAACTATACCTAGCTAACTGCATGAAGGTTAGCCATCAGCATAAATGTTGTTGCAGTTTTTTCATATGTTGTACTTTTTTTAATTGTCTTTACATTTAGTACATCTTACTGAATAACTGTTTTTGGTTTGACATATTGAGAAAGATATTAGCTGAATGGCTGCGGTTGAAATTTGGTTTGTGGCGCTCCAGTGTCACTCCAAAACGGTTGCTAATGTTTCCATTCCAGTTTAGCTAGGCTATCAGGTTTTTCATGCATGTAGAGAAATTCTGTGCTTGGCAATAACAACTGAAATAATTCTTGTTCTTCAACTTGAACTGATAATGTTTTGCTTTTTAGTCATTAAACATTGGAATTATATTCTCATGGTACTCTTCATGCCTCAGTGATGCTGTGTAGTGTTTGAAGCTGCTGTTGGATAACATACACACAACCAGCTACATATTATTCATGTGCTTTGAATATTTCCACATAAAATCATAGAATACCAACCACAAAGTAAAGAACCATGGTCATTTTTATGAGGAAATGTTTTTCTTTTTATTTAAAAAGTGTGTATCCTTGCCTCCTTTACACTAACCTAAATAAAAGGTCAAGTTGTATAAATAAGAGGAACAAATTTTTTTTTAAGAGGAAAAAAGAAAAAGTTGATAAAATTGCAGTTTGACCAAAACGGGACATTTTCAAACGTCCTTGATGCTAAAGTGTGTCTGTCTCCAGGCTCCAGGTGGAAGTCCATGTCCAACCAGGAGAAGCAGCCATACTATGAGGAGCAGGCGAGGCTGAGCAGGCAGCACCTGGAGCGTTACCCCGACTACAAGTACAAGCCCCGACCCAAACGGACCTGCATTGTGGAGGGCCGAAGGCTGAGGGTGGGCGAGTACAAAGCCATGATGAAGAGCCGCAGGCAGGAGCAGAGGGCCACCTACACACACAGGTAGAGAACCCACCGACACGCTTCACATTCGCTTTGACAGTCCCTGAGGAGAGCAACAATGTCCCTCTTTACTGACAGTAACCCACAGTAACCCACGGTTACCCTCCACAAACTGTACGGCCTTCAGCTTTTCCACCTGTCTTTGGACTATTGAAGTGTTTGGAGCCTGTCCTCCATAATGAATGCAACTCTTAAAGTTCTTCAGATGAAGCTAACAGCTGTTATTTATGCTCTTTTTGCCATAGCAGAAAGTTTCATAAAACAAAGATTACAGATTTAATAACTCGGCTGGAGCTGGCGTGGATGAAAAAATTCAAACATGTATGAGCTCAAAAATTTTTTTTTTCTCATTTAGTCTTGTCAAAACGTCCGCGTATTTTAATGGTGGAATTTAACTAGGCCATTTTAACACATGAAAATGCTTTGACCTAAACCAGTTAACTTTCTAATCAGGTTTTACAAAATATCTAGAGTTGGAAATCCTGTGTGACCCTTAGGAACTGTTATGAGTGCTTACTGTGTGTTTGTTTTTAATTTTCAAACTATCATTTTTTTTAATCACTAGGACAATAAAGACGTTAAACATTTAAAACGAGGGAATCAAAACAGTGAAGTATCTTCATGCAGCAGGAAGAGGGAGCCTCTGTTCCAGCCTCTAACATCCCTACAGCATGATGCTGCCTCCACTAGGCCTATTGCAATAAACAATAAATCAATTAAATAAATTAAAATGAGCTCCATGATTTCTAATTTTATGACTAGAACTTTTATTGAAGGACAATTTTGTTTAGAGACTTTATAATTGATTTGTTATTTTTATTTTGTATATTTAAAATCTCTTCCAGTTCCAGTTTTCAATGTTAGTTAGAATTTAAAGTTTATTGGTCTTTGACAATGTGTTGTTGCAGTGTTATTATGCCATTACTATTAGGTTATTTGAAAATGGTCTCAAAACAATATTATCATTTATCGCAATAACTTCTGGGACAATTTATGGTGCGTTCAGGGTGACGTAAAGTTGTAGTTTTCCCCAGTTGAAGCATTTTACATGTAAATTCAAGTTTGGTTTCTTTCAGCAGCTTTCCACTCCAGCTGTTTCATTCGGGTTTAGCACATAGATTAGTACTTTTAATAGTGAATAAAATGAATAAGACTTGTTATTTATGTATCGTGTTGCGTCGTGTCTGATGCCACGCCCTGACGGTGACTCATCCTGTCTTCCAGCCAATCAGAGCCGCAGCAGATCCAGTACTCCCAGAGCGACCAGTACCCAGCCGGCGGCTCCATCTCCGTCCCAGGCTTACCGTTTCACCCGGCACTGCTGGAGCACTACCTGCCGCAGGCCCCTCCCCCCGCCCGCAGGTCTGAGGACCGGGCCACGCCCACCCCACTGCCCAGGGACAGGGAAAGAGAGAGGGTGCAGGAGAGAGAGAGGGAGAGGGAGAGGGAGAGAGAGAGGGAAAGAAAGCGAGAGCGACTGCCGTACAGCGAAGGAGAAGAAAGCGACGTGGGAGAGAGGAGTGAGGGGGAACTGGTGCTGCTCACAGACTGATCAGGTCGGGCCTGGTGGGCCTCCGGGGGCCCGGTGGGTCTGGTGGGCTGGCGGAGCGAGGAGATGGAGAGGAAGACGAACAGAACTTCAGCTTCAGATGTCGCTCCTGGTTTTGAGGCAATCACAATCCAAATCCTGGACGACTGAGACGCCACACACACATGTACTCTGGTTGTACATTAATACAAACTCCCCAGTAAACCCAGTTCCCTCATACAAGTCCTTATCAGTTCCCTTCCCAGATGAGTCATCACCTGCTTTGTGTTTCTTTTTCTTTTCTTTTTTCTTTTTTTTTAACTATTGTTAGAATGTAGAAAGTTATCATTTAATCCCTTCTGCTTCTTGTTTTTCTTCCATGTTGCCTTTTATCAAACAATACGCCTCCCAGGGATTAGAATCGCTGCAGGAAGCTCCAAAGTAACTGTTCAACTTAGATTAGCTGCTTTTCACCTGTCAGGCAGCCCAGGACGCTAGACTGGGTCCGCACCGCCCCCTGGTGGTGGAAGCTAGTCATTACAAAAGGCAGACATAAAGGTAGCAGTGGACCGTTCACATCCAACCCAAACCTGACCAAAGAAAAGCCTGATGACAGCAGGGTGCTTCATCATCATGTCTGTTTTTAGAGTCGGCTGCTTTGTTTTATTGTGTGTTTTTTTTTCTTTTCGTCAGCACATCTGGAAAAGCCTTCAAATAATTTAACACGTAATCTCAAAACTCCAACATTTAATCTGAGTACGTTTGTCTGTTGGTGTCTGCTCCCCTGATGATTCCTGTCAAACGAACAGAACTAAAGAATTTTCTAACCCAGATTGTAAGGCATCATAAAGTCTACCAGGAGACCGAAGGGAAAAATCTGGTGGACAAATTAAAGCTTGGATTTTTTTTTACCTTAAATTAACAATCATAAAAAAAACATTTTATTATTCATTGGCTCCTTGTCACCGTACAAAATGCATAAAATCAATTAAAAGATACAATAATAAAATCACTTGAGCATGAAGTGCAGAAGACATCAGATATAAAAGCAGTTTTAAAGAAATGTGTTTAAAGTTATGATTTGAAATGGAGTGAATCCATCATCGCCTGATAACCCCAGTCACATCCTCCTCTTCCTCCACATTTCTTCTGTTTTCCTAAAGTGAAGCGTGTTTACTTCAGCTCTCTCTCCGGCTCGGAGGGTTGACCCCCAGCCTGTTGCATATATTTGTTTTTTGCTTTTTAAGTGTTTCTTGATTGTTGTGTTTAATCTGTGCATTTAAATACATGTTTTTATTGTTTGTTTTGTTTTTTTCTTGGTGAAACGATGCTGAAGTTCCTTCATTCATCATCGTTTACATTCTCGTTCAGATCGTCCAGCAGCAAGAAAAATGTCTGAGATCACTCAGTCCACGATGAACTGTAACTTGGACCTGCAGAGGTGTAATAATATTCATGATTTGCTTTGTAATAGAAAATATTAGTTATGACAACAGTGGAGCACTAAAAGAAATGGATTAAGTTGGTTTCCTTGGAGAACCAGATGTAAAAAAAAAAAAAAAAAGTGATTTTGAACGCAATCTTTCTGTTGCGTATGAAAGGGAGCTGAACGTAAATAAACCTGCATCCATCTGACAGCGGACACAAATTGTAATACGATAGCACTTTCCACTTCTTTAGAGACACTGGTCATGATGAGTACACTGGCACCATAGTTGGTCCCCCTTCCTTATCTGGCTGTGTGATATTAAGTTCTGTTTTTACAAATGGCTGATGGTCAGTTATTGGTGTGATGGCATACAAGGATTTTTTTTAAACATTTAGCTTCAGAATCGCATCAGGTTTACGTCCTACGAACTTTTAATGGAAAAAAAAAACTGACTGGAGTTTTGTTCATAAATCGCTAGCTAGCTGCAGTAAGACTGCTGCCAACAAGAGAATCCATTTAGAAAATATGCATGTAGTTGCTGACGATGAGGGACGACAAATCATTACTCTTCTTTATTTTTAGGGCAAAGCATAACCAGTTGCGACCGGTGTGTTTGTTTAAACAGCGAGCTAACCCAACAGAAAGCCTAGCTACACAAGCTAATATCAACAATAACAAACAAAACCTCAAGAAGTTAGTTAAATTTTGTTCCTTCCTTGAGATTTATAACTTTTGATTACCAGTAATATGATCATAAGCTACAGTTAGACCCTGAATTATTAAACCTATTTCAGTGTAAAGTAATGGATGTTTCCCTTTACTGAAAGCAGTGTTTTAACATTCCCCAAATTCACTTTGAGTTTGACGGGCCTTTTGGCATCACCTAATCTTTAACTCCCTCCACAAAGTTCTGGGGCTTTTTGACTTTGTGCTAACTTTGATAGCATAAACTTTAGCATAGGTCAAGTTGACAAACTGTAGGTTCCTGAAATGATTCCTACCTTTTATTAAATTGAAATTATTGACTCAGACTTCTTAATTCTGGTTCCACCAAAGAAATGTACGTTTGAGAAGAAGTTTTAAGAAGATTATTTATTTTATTTATTCATTTTTTTTTAATTGGTGAAGAAAACTGTTAGCTAGTAGTTAACAGGTTAGCTTAAGTTTCACTGGCTGCATTAAAATCACACAGAAGAAAACCTGGTACTTAATGTTTTATTTTGTTAAAAAAATGTTATGAATTTCAAGATATAACTTCATAACTGTGGTGTCTTTGTTCTCATCATATCCTGGCTCCATGGTATTTAGATTATTTCAATAAAGAAGTTGTTTGTTAGCTGTTAATCTACCATTAGCTAAGTGTGAGGTCGGTTAAACAAGAAAGGCGGGAAAGTGTCTCAGGCCTAAACTGGACATGAAGGTTCATCAGAAACATGCTGGTTCTTATGTGTACAGAGATAAATGAATTATTTTATTACATACTAGAACCACCTGTCATTACCATGCTGATGTAAATATAGAAAAACTTTATTTTGTTTATAAGAGCTTGTGTAATTTAAAGGTGTACATTTCCATATGTTTTCAGAGTTTTTGAAAGACAATAAACTGGTTGTTTTAATCATGTTTGTTTTTAATAAGTTAAACTTCTTGCCAATTGCCTGGTTCTCCCAAATGCTCTACAAACTTGAATGGTTGCCATGGAGATTAAAGAATTTGTCAAACATGGATGAAAGAATCAAGGCAACACTCCAGATATGTTTTAGGTACAGGAATATTATGACATGACATGACAGTCAATTTTACATGATACTGTAACATTTTTAACATTAAAATTTATGTAGTTTAAATAAAAAATTTTTGCAGGGAACAGTTTTGATCTTCCAGATGGACCAACAGAAACTTTCTGGTTTATCTGGAACTGTCCAGTTAATTCTGCCTCGCTGGATCTTTGTAGAAACGAGGGATCTGCAATATATCTGCATTCAGTCGGCGACAAATGAAGCGTTTCATTTTTTTAAACTACTGATATTGGTCCAACACCTGATGTTTATTTTCATCTTGTTGCCATTTGTTTCAGGATGCAGAGAGGAAGAGGATTTGGCAACAAAAGGAAAGTGAAATACATAAAATCAATAAATATTGGTTATTGGCCACAACAGAGATATTAAGACACAGACTTTCATATCAGTGCATCCTCGGCGTCAGTTAAATAACTATCGGTTTGGATCAGTTCAGTGGTGGTTTTCTGGTTTATCTCGTTCTGTTTCCACCCGAGTGTTACAGTAACAGGCAGGAAGTCCCGGGTCCTGAGCCCCTGTTCCTCATGGGCAGAAAGGAAGCTGGAACATGGACCACAGGCCATCCACACACACACACACAGACAATGAGGTTTATCACACAGGAGAATCCTTTTAAAATCAATTTAGCCTTTAATTGAAATATTTACCGATAGTCGTTAAATAATTCTTTTCACTCCTACAGGCTGTGAACGATCAGTGTACAGTAAACTTTTCACAGGATTTATTACAGTATTTACATCCTCAGTTCTCCACACATTTACAAATTCCTGTCTGCAAGCCAGACTCTGGCTCCTTTCACACACAACTCCGCCCTTCTGGCAATGCTTTACAAAAAGGAAATTAAAGTAAAAATAAAAACTAAACTCAACAGTGTTTTTTTAAAATACATTAGTACATTCACTCGGAAATAATCCAACCTTAAATAAGCTGCAGTTCAAAGCTAGACTGTCACTGGTGTGATCAAAGAACACGATAAAAAGGTGGGAAATGTAGTGCTAGCTTCACTCAATAAATAAACTGCTTTCACAGATTTGTGGGAAATTAATGTGCAGGAATGTTTTAATGCTAATTCTGCCCTGCTGAGCACAAAGCAACCAGCTCATCTGGAAATACTGATGACGAGAGAGAAACCTCAGTGGTCCAAACATAGAGCCTCGGCTCTGAGCAGAATCAGTCTGCAGCGTTTTCTCTGAGTAAGTCTGTCAGCAGATGAGGTCGGCTCGAGGTCAGAGGTCAATTCGGAGCCTTTCTACGGTGCAAATGCGCCTTCTCTCCAGGCCGAGCTGTGATTGTGCATCAAAGTATTTACTTCACTAATTTAGTCCGAAATCTACACGAGCTGCTCTGTGGCCTGGTGATCACTGCAGCTTCTCTGCTCCCAAACATGAGCCACGTTTCAGCAGTCGTCACGGCGACATAAAAAACAATCCTCTGTCAGAACAGACAGGGTTTGGCTTTAGAGACGGACGGCTCCTTCACTTTCTCCCTGAAGTCCCTGCAGCTCAAAGCGAATCAGCATCAGAGTCTGCTCAATTATTAAACCCAGCCGCTACACAACACCAGCAATGCAGGACAAAGGTCGGGCTCACTGGCTCCCCCTGTGGGGGCTGTACTGAACTACAGACAGACGTCATACAGTCATGTTGGAGTGTGAAGAAATGGCTCAAACTGACTTGAGACAGAATGAAGGAGACAAAGGCTGAGCTGCACCGATCAGGTTTTTATGTAGTCGATGTTTTTATGATTCTATTTGCGGTCGGAAATGGAATCTTCTGGTAGTTTTAAGTAAGAGAAAGTAAATTATGGCAAGATAATCCTCATTTAGGCACCTATTGTTTTTTTAGATGAACTAGTATCGAGTGTTTTGAGTCATATAGACACACCAAACCCACAGCCAG